TCGGAGATCCGCTCCCATAAAAAGAGCTTCCTCCCAAAGCCCCGCTCCCTTGCTGCCCAGGAGCCTGCTGGGAACTCAATGCACGAAACGCACCGCTGGCTCCACCACCGAGACCTGCATTCGCCCCTCCTGCTGAAGCGGCGGCAGCAGCCACTGGGAAGAAGAATGAGATGTTCAAATACCAATTGACATTGAATGAAGGTATGAGGAGTGTGAAATGATAGTCATTTTCATACATGCACCTGCGGCTGATGGGCTGATGATTACTGATGCGGGGGCCATAAGTCGAACGGGTCCTCCACGAGCTCCTGTATTCACCACAAGTGCACCTGTCTGGTCATAATATGCAGCAGGAGCCAACACTGGATAACCTGAAATACCACAGAGGGGACTTTATTAGACATTGTGAACTGTGAAAGCTTGATCTGTTAAAAGGTTCACTTAAGTGCATTAAGGCTGATTTATACTACTGCGTCAAACGCACACGTATGCTACGGCGTTGAGGCATAGCCCTACGCCATGGCCGTCGGCTTCACTGACGTGCACCTCTCAAAAAATGTGACTACACGTCGCAACGACGCTTAGCGCAAGCTCTGTGATTAGTCGGCTTGGTATAGCTGACGAGTCAGGGCGGGACCGAGAGACGCGGGAGCATAATGGAGTGATTGTTTACAAGTGTGGAGTCTCGTGAAGGAGCTCCGGATGGAAAGTTTTGTTTTGTGTTTACCTCATAGTTAAAGTTGTTGCACGTCCGCCGGTTCCTGCCTCAAAATGAGCGAGTTTGAGCCACTTGTACATTCAGGAAGCGTTCAGAAAGCACAAAACAGCAGCAAAGAAACTTGACATAGACACATTAACACCTGACAGCCAACTAGCGTTTCGGAAGTGTTAATGCAGACCAACAGAGACAGCGTGCAGAAGTACAAATGCACAGCTACGCGCGTTGCATGCGCCGTTGGTTACGCTGGGAACTTGACGCAGAAGTATAAACCAGGCTTTAAAGCTTAGCTCAATGCAGGATGCAATTTCACCTGAAACAAAAACAGGGTATATACAGGGTAATTTCAAAACCTTTGTAAGACCTTCTCAGAATATTTTAAGACATTTAACTTAATAAACAGTTGTAGTTAAAGGTTCAAGAAACCCTGGAGTACATAGAGATTTAAACAGATTTGTGTATGTTGAGCATGATTTGAGACGATGTTAGCACCAGTTAGCTATAATTGTGGGTAAAATGTAATCTTGCAGGTTTAATAACTTTTGAGGAGAAATAAAAATCAGTGGCGTAGCACAAAACTGCAAGTGGAGTGATGACGCATCTGTTTCCCATTATTATTCATAGCAGGGTTTACTTATGCTATGAGAAGAGCCTGCTTCTTAATTATTCATGAGCGCACGTGCTTTCCGAAGGCAAAGCAGACCTGCCAAGCTGGGAGACCCAATGACTGGGTGAGACTGGTCGTATGTGTTTGTTTCCATGATCCACAGGATTTGTTGCATGTTTTTCCCTGCGATGCTGTCAGGGCAGACACAGCAAAGCTGTTGGTTTGCAACAGGCATTTTTGTAGGGAGAGCTGTATGAGAATGGCAGACTTTTATCAGTTGAGTTTGTTACAGTTTATAGTTCGTTATTGAGACACATCGCCTTTATTTATTCTGCTGTCTTCACAAGTTTAAAATCCTCTTATTACCAGCAGGGCTGGTTATAGACAGGGCAAGAGACCTGCTGCACTGCTATCCACTGTTTGCATTCAGACCCAGGGATTGAGAACAGAAGTCCTCCTTATTTATAGTGTTTATATAAACATGATTATCATCATAATGACATAACAAATTGGGATTGTGTATATGAAATTACGAATAACAAATGTAGCAGGACATTAAATTATTTCCTGTCAATTTCTTTGCATTTTAACTTTGTAAACTATAAAATCATGCGTCTCCCCACGGTTTGTCTCTCATGTTGTGAGCAGACTGACCACAGTTGCTCACTCCTCTTTTTCCCCTGCACTGTCAGCCACACCCACACCCCCTCTGCCCGCAGAGCTCAACGCCCATCTCAAAGCACTTTTTGAAAAATTTCTGAGGTAGACTTGAACTGAAAGAGAAGGGCTTCATGGCTCTTTAAATAAATCAATGGAGCACAACCATGCAACAGAACTTAGATAAGCTCGGAAGAAACAAAGCTTGGTCGAACATTAACACAAACAAGCCAGCTTTGTTGACAGTGTCAACGGGTTGCTGTTAAAAGGGGAAATGAAGCACTCAGTTTACATAATTGTACATTGGATTCCTCTTTTATGAAAATATATTAAACAAACTCGATTAATGTAATCATTAAGCAGAAAAACGGCATGTTTTTCTATAGATTTTAGACCTTGGGTGCCGCCATCTTGAAATACTTCTGTGTCTGACATCACAGGGTTGGTTCCTTTCCCTGAGCTGAACAAATACAGTGGAAGGACAGAACATGGTGACTGCAAAGCCTATTTTAACCCAATGCGTGAAGTTGAGGATGTAGAGCTGGTGCGCACGCACACACAAACACAACTGATGCTCGTATTTGCACCAGCTCCACAACTTCACGCATTGCGTAAGTTGGGCTGTTCAGTCTCTGTGTTCAGTCCATTACTGCTTGGCCAGCCAGTGTCTGTATGCTAAAGCACATCTGACTCATAACCGTCACAGTCTAGAACAGCAATGCTGAGTCTTTCATTACAGTTTCATCGACACTAGTTGTTTGGCGTCTGCTTGGTGTGTCCCGGCCTTTAAATTATAGCATTCAGTGCAGAATTAGTAAAGGAGAAATAGTACCAGAGCGGACAGCACAAACAGCAGCAATCCAAAATTGGAAAGCACATTTGCACTGTCTGAAATCATTTATCTCCTATATAGTGCACTATGTGCCACTCACTATAAAGAAAATTTTAGTTTTAGGGTAACAGTCTAGAAGTTCACCCAAAATTTCTCACCCTTCAATTGTTCTAAACCTCGGAGTTTTTTTTAAATAAAAAAATTATATACTGAAGACTTTTAAAAACCTAATGTATTTGACATCCATAGGAGAAAAAGAAATATACTATGGTAACTGTGACTGTGTGTGTGTGTGTAATATATTTTCACCTTCAGCTCTTGCCAGACAGCGGAGATAAAAGATGTTTCTAGAGTCCTTTACCTGGTACACCTGCTGCCAGACCCTGCCCAAAAGCCAATGCCGAGTTCACAGCTGCTGCCGCTACGAGCTGCTCCGTCTGCTGACCCTGCTGTCCTTGACTTGGAGTGAGAGGTCGCTGGTTTCCACCTGCACGCATCACCTGTGACGAACAAAGGTCAAAGATCATGGTGAGTCTCAAGGGTTTTTACACAAGATGAAATAAAAGCCATGGGTGTGCTCACAATGTTTCTTAAATTTAAGCTCTAAATGCCTTATGGATTAGATTATAAACTCTGCTGTAAATGGCCTTCTTTGGGTGAAACTAAAAACATTTTTAAATGAGCTGCTGCTTTCCAGAAAAGGGCGGCGCCTTTACAGGTTGCGCATCTGTTACTCAGGAAACAAAACATCTGCATTTGTTTTTAAGAGTAAGGAGACTTGTCAGTTTAAGAGTTTATCCAAATACTCAGTTTTCTGTGCACAGTGTTTGTGCTTTAAAGTACTTTCAATGTAACGGCAATGTCCAAAAAAAAATTAGCATGGGTCAAAATTCTGTTTGTTTGTTTTTTTTTATTATGCCAAAAATCATTATAATAGAAAGTAATATTACATGAAGATTTACTGTAAATTCTTAATGTAAAATTTATCAAAATTAAAATTTTGATTAGTAATGTACATTGCTTTGAGCAGGGGTCACCAATTTCGGCCCTGGAGGGCCGGTGTCCCGGCAGGGTTTAGCTCCAACTTCCCTCAACATGCTTGCCTGGGTGTTTCAAGTATACCAAGTAGGACCTTGATTAGCTTGTTCAGGTGTGTTTGATTAGGGTTGGAGCTAAAATCTGTAGGACACCGGCCACAGGAACAGGTTTGGTGACCCCTGGCTTAGAGCTTCATTTGGACATTGTTAATTTGATTTTCTCTGTATTTTGATTTAATCTGAACCCTCCAGATTTTCACTGTTGTAGCTTAGCTAAATACTGCCCTATCCTAACCAAATATAAATCAATGAAAAGCTTATTCAGCTCTCAGACAATGCATAAATCTCAATTCCCAAAAATGATCACTTATGATTTTGGTTTTGTGGTTACATATATCATAAAATTAGTTACATGTTATTACAGAGTTTCTGCAGGTTTCACCAAGTTAAATTTAAGGCTTTAAATTAAGACCATTATAAATGAAATTTTAGACTCATACAGTGCTAAACGCAAGAGTTTTTCTAATGGCCCATCAACAAATTATTTGACCTATAGAACAAATTATGATTTAATACATTTAATAGTACAATACTAATTATTAAATACTAATAAAACTAATTACTTAATAAAAAAGTTACATAATTTAGCTATTTAAAAGCAAGCTCTAGTTGAATAAATGCACTTGTTTTCAACATGACTTTCTTTAAAAATAAATTTAAGAAATGTTTTAAACATTTTAAAAACTATAATTAACTGAATGTATGCACAAATATCTGTCCAGGTCAGTGTCCTTATCAGTATGGAAAACAATTAAACAAATATTACGATAAATAGCGTTAAAATAAAAATTTACGCTCAATAAAAATACATTCTATTGAGGTGGAATGTTTGTTCATGTATAGTTACATCACTAAGGAAACTTAAGACCTGCTTAAAAAAAGATTTAAGACCTACAACGCAAGGTTTCAGCAAATTTAAGACTTGCGGCCTAAAATTTAGTTTTTGAGATTTAAGACATTTAAAGATTTGTAAGACCCGACAGACACCTTGTATTGACCTTATTCTAAAATGCTGAAGTGCACCTGTTTTCGCGATTGTTTTAGAACTTCTGATTCAGTCGCCTTTGGGAGAAATGACTAGGAATAATAAACGGTAAAAAAACGGTTAAACAACTTGCTATCTATATCACCTTATTTATGTTCCAAACATTCTCTTATGAATTATTTAAGACTAAATTGTATTTAAATTATTTCATTAAAATTTGTTTATCTAAATTTTTGTCAAAATAACACACCTGGATGGCACACAGTGGCTCAGTGGTTAGCACCGTTGCCTCACAGCAAGAGGGTCACTGGTTTGAGTCCCGGCTGGACTAGTTGGCATTTTTGTTTGGAGTTTGCTTGTTCTCCCCGTGTTCGCATGGGTTTCCTCTGAGTGCTCCGGTTTCCCCCTTAAGTCCAAAGACATGCAGTCAGAGATGTAAAGTAACTAATTACAAATACTCAAATTACTGTATTTCAGTAGGATTTCTTCCTCCATGTTCCAAAGACATGAACTAATGGTGTATTGGATGAACAAAATTAATTAATTCAAACTAATTTTTTTCATTCAGACTAAGCACAAGGAAAATGAATCAATAACACACTTTGACACACAAAAAAATGTATCTATTCGTTTACCTAAATGTCATATGACTACTAGAGAATTGTTAGCATTTTAGGTTTGAAATGTTTGTTTATTTTGTCTATATTTTTAGTGAATGCCCCGAGCACATATTATTCCACAATGAATTGACTGTACATCATAATATGTCATCATGTCATCAACTGTAATCTGATTATGAATATAATATAATGTAATGTAATCTATTTACATGTACTTATTTTTTTGTAATCTGATTACCACACATGTAATCAGTTAGTACCCAGCAACACTGTTAACATGCTTTCAAATGCATGTCTTACATGTTTTGACCACATATGTGTTGATTTCATTGAGGGTCTTCCCTTTTATTGTGTCCTTATCTACATCACTTTTGCAAAAACACCTAATCATTGTCAAGTATCTATAATAAATACAACAAATGGGGTAAGACCTTATTTTGATGGTCCATTATTGGTAGACTGTCTGCTCAATATCTGTTGATACTGCTTCTTCAACAGACATTTAACTGACTATAAGAAACTGTCCAAGTACATGTCAACTTTCACTAACCCTATCCCCAATCTAATAGTCTGCTTATAATCTAATGAGAATTATTGGCATGTTGATGCAATTTAACTTAAATTCAACAAAAGAAAGTGTGACCAGAAATGGTTTAAAATGGTCCTTCTCTGACCTCAATGGGAAAACTTATTTTACGGGTCTTAATTAGAATTGTTTTTAATATTTTTAATAAGTTTTATAAATGTATCATGTCAAAAAATGCTGTCTAATGCTGAGCATTAGAGACTTTTAATATAACTCCAACTACAAACTTTTGAAAGGTAGTGTACTTTTGCTCATTTCACCTTTGATGGACTCTTTGTTGCCCTGTTTAACTTCAATCCTGCATTATGTGTCAAATATACGTGTAAGGGCATTAGATGCATTCAGTAGCAAAGTTTGAATTTTATATTGGGTTTATGAATAAGAAATGCAAACTCCTAAGAGCTGGGTAATGTGCTCAATTTCAACCCTCCATGTTTGTTAAGGTGATTAATAATGAAACATAGGGAATTATGCATGACGAGGTGACTTCTCTCCTTCGTTCTGAATGCACTAATTCACACAGAGTTCAGCTGAACTCACAGCAGTTTAAAGGCTGCTTGTAACATACTATCGCAAGAGAAAAATTGACGACGGAAGATGCGAAGGCGAGAACTATTGAACCTGTAATGGTTTGCACCCTCGGTGAGAGTTCAAAGCTGAGGCATGGGCATCACTGGCTTCCTTCTTCATCTGACAGGATGTGAGTTTGCTCTGACCTGGGAATTTTAATAATGTATACCAATCACACAGTGAAGGCTCCCTCCTCAGTTTAACCACCACATAACCTCAGCACTTCTAACTGTACATTATAGTTCAGACCAAAGAAAAACATATACTGTAAAATATTCATCTCATCTCTAGCGGGGTCCTTATTCGTTCACTGCTGTAGCACAACATAAGCCAACTTCCACACTAACAAACAGCCTTTTGGGCTGTGTTTGTTGTAAATATGTGCACTGCACACAACACACCTTGTAGAATGCACATTTAAACTCACTTTAATTCATGTTGGACTGTAACCTTAAAGGGGTCATGAACAGAGAAATCAAAATGTCCTAGTTCTTTTGACAAATAGGAGGTATATTCATCTTTTGAAAGCCGTCGACTTGAAGCTCCGTTGTGTATACCCTGATGGAAAGCTATGTTTAGCCTATGCTGAGCGTCGCGCCATGCAGAGTGGCGCTTCTGGTATGCGACCTGCAGACAAGTTCGTTATTTTATTTCCAATGGAGAGACGTGCACTTGAGGCAACGCGCTTGCACTTTTCCAGCTGCACATAGTTAAGATCACAGGGAGCTTCTGTGATCGCGAGAAATGCAAACGGCTGAAGTGTAGGGTAGACGCAATAAAAGTACACGTTTGCAAACCTACCTAAAGTTAATGTTACAAACAATAATTCTGATTAGAGCGATAATGTGGAGAATATTGATCTTGTGTTGAGCCCAATTGTCCTTACATCTAAAAATTGAGCAAGGGTGTTTCTTTAGTGATATCGCTTTGACTCAAACGCTGAAAATGGCGGACGTGAAATAACAAACTGAGGTGAAACAACAAACTGATGGTGACGTGCCTGTCAATCAATATTGGTGGGCGGGGGGACCGCACTCCTACGTCAAGTTGCAGTCAGTCTAAATACCGCTCCAATTGGTCCACCGTTTTTATGTTGTTAAA